CTTAAATAAATAAATATTTTTTGATCAAAACTATCATCTTTTGAATTTAATTTGGAAGTATTAAGCAACAGGAAATATATCTTTTATGGGTATATTAGGCCTTCTAAACATTACAAATTGTATAAATATATAATTTCTTATTTATAATATAGATAAAAGATATACCCTTCTGCTTTACATTTACAGGGTATTCCAAATGAAGCTTGTAGTGCGCTTTGGTCTCGGGCTTTTTACTGCACCGCACGTGCCAAGGCGGCGCGCGGCTTTTGCGCAGGCGCAGACTTTTGGGATTGGGACTCCGATTTGGAGTTCGAAAAAAAAAAAACTCAGACACTCAAGACAACCACAGCGATGATGATGATGATGACGATGCCCAAAACAGTTGTGGAACAGTTGTACTTCGTTGTTGCCGCTGGACATGGCCCCATGTTGGGCGGGGGGAAAACGCCTAGATGGCCAAGAGCATAGAGGCTGGCTCTGGGGTTTTACTTCGAATAATGGTTGCTCTAATACATTAAATAAAGAGAAAAGTTAAGAAAAAATAAATTTAAAAAAAATAGAAAATAATATTTTCTAAGTAGAAAAACTCTTATCGAATTTACTATTTATTTTCAAAATATTTTCTTAGCTATAAATATATTTTAGGGAGTTTTATTTACTAAATAATGTACATAGGGAACATTAATATTAAGTTTAAAATATATTACATCAAGAAAAGATTTATATTTAAAATCTTAAAATTAGTATAAATAAATTTTAGACATTAAACTTTTATTAGTTAAAACTTCCAGCACCATCAAATATTTATTATAATGTTTTTTGTTTTATTAGTTTTAGCTTTTAATTCTTAAACTATTTTTTCATAGCAACAAACTACCTTATATTTTTTACAAAAAAACCTACATTTATCCAACAATTTGTACCTATATTTCCAGTCTCTCTCCTAACCGTAAGAATCATAGGTAAACTCCGACCATGACTTTTGGGTTGTGCGATGATCAAGACAAAAAAAAAGTATAAAAAGAAGCTTTTGGCTCCCTAGAGTAAAAGTCATTTATTTTATTTAGTGTTGTCTGTGTGCTGATGCTGCTGGGTTTTTAATTAAAAAACTTATATTGGTAGAAACAAAATATCTTGGCTACTTTTGGGCTCGTGCCCACGGACTCTAAGGTGCCTAAAGTGGGCGTGTTTTCCTCTCGAAGGTTGGGGATAGACACAGCAGAGCTTCTTCTTGGGGCAGAAGACATTGTAATTGTGGATGGCGATGGTGTTGAAGATGATGATTCAGCCGATTCCGACTGACTGGAATATTTATGGCTCGTGCCAGTCAGTAAGTGGAGGAGAAACCTTAACTTCAACCTGAACTTTAGCTTCGATTCTATCTCGACAGCCTCTCGAAACTGGATGGACGGGGTGGCAGCTACTGAAAATAGAGTTTCCATTTCCATGGAAATTTTGGGAGCTTAGCCTTGCACGTGTCAGAGTCCCTCCTGTCTTACCATTTGCAGGTGTTGTTCCACACAATTTTCTTGGCCACGTTCTGATCTTTGACTGTCAGCAGCGCCCACGCCATTTGATCCCCCCAATGTCTTTGGGCTTTGTCTTGTCTCGCTAACTGTGTCAGCAATTAGTTGTGGGCCTTATTTATGGTTTCCATTTGCCATTTGCCTGTTAAATTAATTAAACACAGGCCAATAAGCGAAGACAAGGTATCCATAAAGGCTTTTTGGTGTTTGAAAAATAATACAAGGTCTTTGTTTGGGGGATTGGGGGAGGTTAAAGGGGGTGAAATTATATTAGAATGGGTTTAAAAAGGGGTTTTAAACTATGTAAAAAGAGCAAAAAGGGTGGCTTTTAATTTTTAATATTTTGTTGATTTTATATTTATTTATAATATTACATTTTTATGAAAAATGAGACAAGAATGGTTATAAAATAATATTTGTACATTTAGTAAACGTTATAATAATTTTAAATTTTATTGCAAGTTTTAATATATTTAAAATATATCATACATTGTATAATAAATTCCATATTTTCTCCTATTTAAACTGCAAACCAATAACAATAATGTGATAATCACAAGTTCTTTTTCCGCCAAGCAATTAATTTACTCATAAAACTCTTTATCCGGCAAGTCAAATGTCAACGACCAGTTCAAAGTGTTTATAACTATCTTTTCAACAACGAACCGACAACCATTTTGCACAAAACAATATAAAAGAGCCGAACATTAGTCATCTGTGAGAGGCATGACAGACACAACCAATCGACTACAATAAACTTATCGCGCCTATAAAATCAATCAGCTTTTAATAAAAAAATAAGAAATATATATATAGAAGCCAACAACAATAAAAAGAGTGGCTGCTGCTGGAAAAGGAGTTCAGTTTCCGCACATGTGGAGCAGAGATCGGACAATGACTCATGGAGCGGAGGCCCAGACCCAAGCCGAAACCCATAAATAAGCTTAAATATAAATATTTTTTAGCCCCGTCTTCCCGAGTCTTTTTGCTTATTTGCCCATTCGTTGTTGTTTATACAATAAATCTACCTGGAAAAAGAGCCCGGCCCTCTGGCACATCTAACACTAAATTGTTTAAACGAGCCTAGTAGATACCCTAAAATGTATTATGAATATATTTAAATATTATTTAAAATTATTTTTACTTTTCTTTAAACATTCTTCTAAGCCTTATTTATTTGATTTAAAATTTTAAACTAATAAAAAATCAAATTAAAGCTCATCAAACCCTTCTAACTTCTACCTTTGGCCAGGGTATGCCTGCCAAAAGAGATGGCTCTAGTCTGGACCAACTCACTACCTGCACTTTGGGTGACTCACCCGAGCAAATCTTGCAGTTAAATGATCAACAATTCGTGGCTCGATATGATTAGCAAGTCCCTTGGTCGCCTTCAGGTAGTTAGACCGAAAACTGTGGCCGAGACCCTGGGACCTGGCCAAAAAGATCTTCTGGCCTCCTCACTTCACACGTTTATGTACATTTTTCCAGCGAGATCGTGCCGACGTCTGGCTCAACTCTACTATATATTTACTATATACACTCAGATGACTCATCGCCAAATCAAAACTCCCTCCTCCTGCAGTCTCCTCTGAACTTGGAGGATTACTTTTTGATTTCTTTTTTTTTCTTATTTTGGTTTAATGCGAATCTTGTGTTTTTCTGTGGGCTTCTTTTGTTGCGATTGCGGTTTTTCTGGGTTTCACATTTAGTTGGAAATGCACAAATTATGAGGGCAATCAACAGGGTAAATGGTCTAGGTAGTGGCTTAATTTCTTAATTAAATGTGTTGGTGTGAAGCTCAGGCAGTAAGCCAATAAAACGGTTAAAATATGGCCAATAAGAACCTTGGAAATTGTTGTAAAAATTAAGATATTTTAGCAGGATATATTTTGTAGGTGCGAAAAGCATTCTATAATTAAAAGGAAATCTCTATTAATTACCAGAACATTAAATCAGATATCTAATTTTTCCAGGAATGGCAAATATTCTTATTTTTAGCTTTAATGGTGATAGATTCAGGGAGCAATTTTGCATTTTCCGACAGGCCTTCTTGCTGTCATATTAAATTTTCCTGTATCGGTTGATGCTTTAAATTTAAAACTCCTTTTCCCCAGTTTGTTTAAGGATGCAAAACAATTTTATTAAAATTTGTAGGTGTGTCCAAATATTGGCTGTGATGGAAAATAGGATTTTTCAAAGAGAAGGCGTGAACGCTGTCTGCACATTATATGTGTTTACTTAGGCTGTGTGCTTGTAGTTCTTTATTAAGTTTAACAAAGGGTTTAAAAATATATTTTAAAATACATAGATATCAAAATCAAAGAGGAATATATATATTTGGCAATTTATAAATTATAAAATTGGTCAGAAATTAGGGTTATCAATGGGCAACCTTCAGACATACGACTGTCATACATAATTCAAAAGCAATTTACACGATTTTAGCTTGTGTACTATATGTACATACGTATGTATTAGTCTGTTTTTTAATTGCTGCAGAGCAAGTTGACCAAATTGGCGATTTTTATGTTGTAAATATAATTGAAACTGTTGCCAAGGATGTCAACTTCTTGTAAGGGGCCAGTTGTTCTAAATGGGTTTGAGGTATTCATTTATTTTTGTTGGCTAAAATGTCACTATTTCAAGTTTAAAACAAAATATACAAGTAAATTTAATATATATATTTATATACAAAAATAAGTGCTAAAGTTTAAAAAGCTACATTGAAAAATAAATCTTAATAATATACTAATTCCTATTAATTAAATTTTCTGGGAATATTTGTTTTTAATTGAGCGCATATTTTGAGGCCAAAGAGTATGTATGTATATAGTGGTATAAAAATATAAAATAAAGCTTATTAAAATTTGAATTTTCTAAGAATATTTCTAGGAATATTATCGTTTAAGTTCGGGGAAATTGCGCTAATATTTTTATGGCAAGTGTATAAATATATTGCTATAAAACCCTACAAGGGCTACATAACAATTAAGATCGATTATTTCAACTAAGTACAATCTGCACTTAAATTTCTCATTAAATTTATTAGTGTCAATTGATTTTTTATGGCCAGCTTGTGGCCATTGAATTTAACTGGTAAATATTTTATGTCATTCTTTTGTTTGTAGAATTTATGGTTTTATTGAACTTAAGTTTGCTAGGTTTATAAAAGATCGTGCAAGTTCTGGAATTTGAATGAATCAATGTTAAATTAGACACTTATATTTAAATATTAAATTGAGTATTTTAATATTAAATATTTAAATGAAAGATTGACACTCAACTGTTTAGTAATAAAAAGAAGCTGATTAGTCTCAGGCCTTGCGAATATTAAGGCTGACCCCATCTGTCGTCAGCGGTCGATAAGAATTGAGTGTTTAGAAAAAAAATCATATAAAGAAGCTCTCCCCAGCTTAGAAGCGAAACAGTGTCAATCAAACTCTGGCGTTAGAATTTATTAAATTTTCGGAGGAAACACAATGGACTCTTCAATTTGCCTGGCAATTCTCAAGGCAGGAGTACTGGACTTACTATTTAACAAGCTTAACAATGAGAAGAAATCCTGCTCAGAACAAGGAGTTGCAGAGTTGGGTAGTAGGAATAAATCCAGTAAAAGTGAATTCGTGGATATTGATAGCCGCAAAATACCCCTGGAGTATTGGTCAGTTATCTTGCCACTCTGCGGCACTCAAGTGCGTGAAATTAATGCCACGTGGAACATTGCAAATAAAATTCCATATCGCTTAATCTTGAATGAGTGTCCGTACTTGGAATCTATACAGTTTAATGTAAATAATAATAATTGGTTAGAGATTATCTCCCTACTACTCGAAGCTAAGAGTTTGAAGTCCGTTTATCTGCATATAAGTAAGGATTGTAAAGTCTCTGTGGATATTTTAAAGGTCTTGAGGCGGCTTCCAAAACTAACTAAACTATTTTTACATGGCTTGGACCCAAAAGAAGGTGAGTTTTAAGAGTTCAAAGACCCATTCAAACTATTCTTAATTTTTTATTATATTTATTTTCAGTTTATCAGTTACAAAAACTAATTCATTTGGAAGATCTCAGCCTTTCCCTAAGAAAAGATTCTCCTCCCATCAATATATTTGAAGTTCTTTCGTCTCTAAAAAATCTCCACACTTTGCATATTTCAAATATAAAAATCTTAGAAAATCATTACTCTAGCTTAAGCGAATTAGAGCACCTGGAAATTGTCTCTTGTCACACCTACTGGATGTTACCGCATTTTCCTAAACTGAAATCCTTACGTTTCAGAAATAATCTGAATTATTCTCCAGACTTTCGATTGTCAAGTTGGATTTTAAGACATTCAAATACTTTGGAGTTTTTGGAACTGCGTTTTCAAACTAAGCAGTATGACAACATTCATTTTGAGGAAGAGGACTTACTCAAAACTGTTAGGAGTTGTAAAAATTTAAGAACTCTTCATTTGGGTAATTACTTCTACTGGGATTTCGTTGAGCCCTTCATGGATGCCGTAAAGGCAAATGGTGGTTTCAGCTTGGAAAACCCACTTCAAATTGTATTTAATAATGTTGAAGAAGTAAAACCATTGGTGAGTTTTTATTTAAATATAAATTTTAACTTAATTTTAATACTTACTTTTCGTTACAGTTTTATAAATCGCCTAGCATTGGACTAATTTATATAAGAAATCCCACACCATTTGAGAGATGTGTTTGGAGCACCTTACCGAAGAACTGGAACTTTTATGAGTTGTCAAAATCAATAGAATTTAATTATTTATGTTGATTAAAATATAACAAAGGCTTTCTAAATTTACTAAAATAAATATTTTATATTTTTGTATTTCTGTTAAATTTGTCTTTATTTTTATTTTGAAAGGTAAACCTCATTTTGTAAACAAAAAACTCAGGAAACCACCTACCCCAATAATGTCATTAACAATGTGGCAACGTTGACCCACTTTCACTGCCCAGAGAATGTGAACAGCTGTCAGAGGCTGTGAGATATGGGACAACCCCTGAGACATGCCCAGGGAGGCGATAAACCAAGACAGGGCGACACACTGGACAGAGGACAGGGGACAGAGACCACTGACACGACGCCTCCATCGCTCATCCCACTGAAAGCGAAACAAAAGACAAAGGACGCTGGCAGACATGGGGAATACTTCCGATATAAGCGATATGGATCGCGATCTCTCGATCGACGCCCACACATATGTTTATGGCGGAACAAAAGATGAGTTTTGTTGGCGATGATTAACACGATTTGTAAGAGATTTTGTTAGTTGCTAAGTGTGTGTTGAGATTTCATCAGGCAAAATGAGTAATTTAGCCAGGTTTCGAGAATAATTCCTCCTTAAAATATATATTAATTAAATATTAAATTTAAATATAAAGATAAATCTAAAAAATTGTCAATTATATGAAAACTTAGTATTTCCCCAAAATTACTTATGAATATGAAAATTTGTCAATAAAACTAGCTAATATTTAAACAAAAACCTAATTTCCAAAATAATTTCTCCCTTAAATATGTAATTTATTAAAATATATATTATTGAAATGTTAAATTTTAATATAAATATACATTAAATATCATCGCAATAAACTTGTACATAAATGTTTCAAGATTATTTTGCTTTTCAAAAATTTCCATTTGACGCACACTTAGTATTCCCCTAAATATTTAATTAAAATTTGTTATTAAAACTAACTAAAATTTAAAAATAAACCAAATCACCTTTCCCTTTTCAATGCTTAAAAAGCATTCAAATAAATATAATGACGTAAAACAATAGATTAAGTGACGTACGTGAATATATTAAGTTGACGTAAACGATAAGATTGTGAATGAATCATTCAGTGAAATGAAACTGTATTATCAGTTGTACTATTAAAATCAGAGCTTGCAAATAACTGTCGACGGGGTTTTTCCTGTGCTCTCGTTGCGAGTAAAACCGAAAAAGATCATACTCTCTCCCTCTCGCTCAGAGCAAGGGAGTTTTGCTGTCTTCATTTCGGTTTTTTGTTGAACGCTTTTCGTTGAACTCTTTTTACTTCGGCCTTTCAATGAGCCGTGCGTAAAGAGCGGGACGAGAAACGTTCGCACACAGAGAGCCAGCAAAAGACCAAGGGACCGAACAGCTCAGCGCGAACGGTCTTCACCTTTGTTCGTTTTTTTTTTATTTATTTATTTTTGTGAACAAGTGTCCATATAACAAAATGCTATTAAAAATAAAAGAAAAGTTTAAGACAATGTTGTTTTTAAATCGCAACTAAACGTTTAAGGATTTGCTTGCCTATGCGTGTGAATGTATTCCAATACATACGCAAAAGACTTTTGTTCACTGACCACGGTTCATGGGACAACCGAAACAAAGCAGAATAGAAAAAAACGAGTTCGCTCTGAACGCGCGCGAGCTCATTCCAAGAACTCATGAACGGGTGCTCTCTGAGTCTTTTCGTAAAGAGTGAGAGAGAGACAGATACAGTGACTCCATCGCATAATCGGACAAGTACCTTCTTATTATAAATGTGCTCAAAAACTATCAAAAATGTACGAAATGGATCGGTTCTTTCTGTTTTTATTCAAGATTAACAATCTTATTATTCAATAACATACCAAAAAATAACATATTTCCAGGAAAACTCTTAATTTATGAACTAAAACAAAATTATTCCATTATTTGACGCTCAACGTATAATCGGACAAACAAAAATATGAATGAAAAAAATAGGAAAAGGATAGATTTAATATTTGGTTGCGAATCCTTTGTTCTCTAGAACAGCTTGCAAGCGCCTAGGAATGGATTTCACCCAATTTTTCGCACACTTCCGGCTCAATGCAGTTCCATGCTTCCAACAAAGCTTCCTTGAGGCCATTTATAGTGTTAAATTTCTCCTGGTACACTCTTCTAGCCAATTCTTCCCAGAGATGTTCAATTACGTTAAGGTTGGGGCTTTGCGCTGGCGTTTCGACAACTTTGGGACAATTAGGGATCAACTAAAGCTTTGCAACACTCGATGTGTGCTTAGGATCGTTGTCGTGGTAAAAAGCAAAGTTGTTTGCGATACCCAATTTCTGAGCACTTTGCTTTACATTTTCTTTTAAAACATTTAGGTAACCAAACTTATCCATAATGCCATCTATGAAATGCAATTGGCCCACTCCAGCACTGGACATGCAGCCCCAAACCATCACAGAACCTCCTCCATGCTTTCCTGTGGCCTTTGAGTTTTTGGGTTTAAATTCGGTATTTGGTTTACGCGAAACAAACTTCTTTTTATTGGATCCATGTAAATTAAATTTACTCTCATCAGTAAATAGAACCTTTAATTAATTAATAAAAATCAACAACAACTTTTTCTGAGCTCATTAACTATTATATTACCGTCTTCCAAAAATCCTCTGTTTTCATCAAATATTCTTTTGCATATTTAATGCGTTTTTGTTTGTTCTTGGGGCTAATAAAGGGCTTCTTCCTCGCAACTCGTCCGAAGTAATCAAATTTATGTAAAGTATTACGCACAGTATTGAGACACACATCTTTACCAGTTCGGTTTTGTAAAGAAATATTAAGTTCTTTAGCCTTTTGAAGGGATCTTGTTTAACTTCTTTTAAAACCGACTGCTCTTCTCGGTCACTTAAGATTTTGTTTTGGCGTTCCCTGCTTTTATTGGCAAATCTAAATTCATCACGGAACCTCTTAATAATGTCGTGGACGGTAGATTTGCTTTTCCCAACTAATTCTGAGATTTCTCTTACTGTTTTTCCTTCAAAATTTAGCTTAACATCCAACTGCCGAAGTTCCACAGAGGATTGCTCTCCATTTGGAGCCATTTTCCACTTTTTAATAGCAAAATTATGTTTTCTGCTCCTAATCTCTATTATTAAACAAACACAATGCAAAAAACAAAAAGCTTTCAGCGAATTTCGGGTAAAATATCGATTTTTTGTGTTCATCTTGGGATTGTCCGATTATACGTTGAGCGTCAAATAATGGAATAATTATGTTTTAGTTCGTAAATTAAGAGTTTTCCTTGAAATATGTTATTTTTTTGTATGTTATTGAATAACAAGAATGTTAATCTTGAATAAGAACAGAAGGAACCGATCCATTTCGTACATTTTTGATAGTTTTTGAGCACATTTATAATAAGAAGGTACTTGTCCGATTATGCGATGGAGTCACTGTATATGCAGACAACTAGAAACGGTCGACAGTTTTTTGCAAGCTCTGATTAAAAAATATTTCAACTGTCTGTAAAATTTAAACACGTCATTGTCATTCATGTTTTGTCATGTTATTCACACATAAATAATCAAAAGCATGTGTACTATTTCCAGCCATAAATCTATTTTTATACCCTTGCAGGGTATTATAATTTCAGTCAGAAGTTTGCAACGCAGTGAAGGAGTCCTGTCCGACCCTATAAAGTATATATATTCTTGATCAGCATCAACAGCCGAGTCGATTTAGCCATGTCCGTCTGTCGGTCTGTCCATCTGTCCATCTGTCCATCTGTCCATCTGTCCATCTGTCCATCCGTCCATCCGTCCGTCTGTCCGTTTCTACGCAAACTAGTCCCTCAGTTTTAAAGCTATCTGAATGAAACTTTGCATATAGACTTCTATATACTCTCACTGCTATATATGTCGGAACGGGCCGGATCAGACGAATATATCATGTAGCAGCCATACAAATTTTCGATAAATTTTTAGAAAAAAAATTATAACTTTGCTGTTTTTCAACAATTTTACACAATTTTTTAGATATAGCCATTTTATATTATTTCAGAATTTTGGTATAAATTTCATAAAAATCGGGCAACTACATCATATAGCTGCCATAGAAGCGATCGGTAAATGTATAAAATATGTAAAGCTGGGAATGTAAAACTGTAACTGTCAAACTGTAAACATAATAAGTAAAGTTAAAATGTAATGAAACTCTGTTTTGTGTGTAATTTTAGCATTTAAATCTATAATATAAACATCAAAACCAATCTGCAAGGGTATAGGTGCCGAAGTTAGCTTCCTTTCTTGATAATATGATAATTTTTAGTTCCGTAGTTCAATTTATTTAACAAATTCTGTACTATAAATAAATGTATATAAAACTTAACATTGTTGTTAAATATAAATTAAATATTTTTGTATACTTTTTTTTTATAATATTATATGTAATGTTAAAGACAACCCCAGGCACATCTCTCGCAGGGGGTGGGACTTCGCACATAAACTAGGCCCAAGTAAGGCGATGCAAAAAACTTTAAAAAATAATGAATTAAAGAATTAATGTAATATTTATATTTTATTCAAACTCACCATTGATTTGACTTCTTCAAAGTTCTCTAAGACAAACCGGAATTGCCTTTCTGAACTAAAACCCTTTGCACTCAACAGATTCATAAAGGAACCCACAAAATGCCAGGTGATGGAGTTGCCCAGGTGAAGAGTTCTCAGATTTGTACAGTTTTGAAGCATTTCGAGTAGGTCCTGTTCTCCAAAATGGACGTTAGTATGCTGTAAATGTGGCAAAAGCAGTTCCAAAAACTCCAAGGTATACGAGTGCTGGGAAATCCAGTAAAACAATCGAAAGTCTGGAGAATAATAAAAATTCCTTCTGAATCGCAATGATTTCAGTTTGGGAACCATCGGCAACATGGAGTAGATGTGACAGGAAAATATCTCCAGTTCCTGCAGCTCATTAAAGCACGAGTTCTGGGTCTCCATGATGTTCATGTTTGAAATGTGCAAGGTGCGGAGATTTTTCAAAGACGAAAGAATCTCAAATATATTGATGGCCTGGGGGTGGCTCCTCAAATTGAGGCTGATGTCTTTCAAATTAAACAGATTTTGCAACTGATAAACTGAAAATGATTTAGAAGTAAATTTAGAACAGTTCAAATGGCTTTTCAACTCAAAAACTCACCCATATCGCAGGAAAAGCCATGTAGCAGCAATTTACTTAGACTGGGAAGCTGCATCAGGGCGTTGATGAGGTTCACAGAGGGATCACAATCCGCGGCTATATGCAGGTGGACCGAATTTAAAGTTTTCACATTGAGCAGCAGCGAGGTGATCTGCATCCAGTTCTCAGTGTTCACATTGAATTTTATGGACTCCAAGAAGGGGCATTGACTCTCGATTATGTGAAATGGAATATAATTCTGGCTGTCCCAAGTGCCATTTATATGGCGCACCAGTGAGCCGCACAGCGGCAAGATTACTGGCCAGTACATGGCCGATAATTTGCGAATATCAATATCTACGAATTCACTGCGACTGTGCACGGCAAAGGCCTGGCCCAACAGGGGATCCGTTTGGGCCAACTGCAGTTTGTCATGGAAATTGAGCTGTTGAAATATTAAATCCAGAACTTCCGCCGGCAAAAGTGTGAGGTATATTTCAGCGTCCATTGAGATTAAAAGCTAGCTTAATGCTTGACTTGGGAACTGATACTGAGTGGCTGCTAAAGCTTAGGCGAGATTTATAAGACTTTGTCTAACAGCTGACTACTGATAAGGGCTAGCCGCTTATCTGGCAAATTACTTAATGTGAAATTTTATTCGCTAATATGTCGTATTTTTTACATTAATCAGCGTAAAATATAGTTCCAAGAAATGTTTGCCAGTGTGTCAAAAAAGGTTTTGGGAAGTTTTGGGAACTAAATATATTTTACATTTCTAAATGTAGAAAAATAATTTGGGAATTTATTTATTATTTAATTAGATTAATTTAAGTTTATAAACCGAAATGTAGTTCATAGCTAAATTCAAACCACTTCTTTGTCTGAGAACCTTTAAAATACATTTCTTTATAAAATTAAAGTTTAACAAAACATCTTCTATATTTTATCCATTAACTGATAAAATAGTTAAATTCTTCGTTTATTTACTTATTTATCTATTTAATCTTAACTCAGTCTTATAAAAAAGTGTATATAAAACTCCGATCTCCTTTATAAAGTATCTTTTCTCACATCGAACAGTCTGCTGAGGCGGATGGGCCATCACTTTTATCGCTGCAATCGGCGAACAACGTATTTTTTCTTGGCTTTTGCGTACAAAAAGGCAATTTATTAATTATGCATAAATGGCAAAGACCCTGTCGAAGTTGTGAATAAGGGAAACATGGGGGAGTCGAAGTCGTCGGAAAGTTCAAAAAGCAATCAAGTTCTTGAGTGCCGACAGCAGTTCTCAGCCGATTGTACAGTTAACATATATGCATATATATACATATAAGCAAACAGAAAGACTGAACAAACAGAATCGAAGAGTTTATAGCCTGACAAAATGCTGTACTTTAACGGGAATCACCTTAAATGGGAGATACTTTTGTCTTCTTTCGATGATCTTAACAGGCTTTATTAATTTTTAAGTTTAAAGTTATTGTATTAATTTCAAGCCTCATAAATAATTATAAGAAATTAAACAAAGAAAGAAAAAAAATTAGAATCCATTACTAGAACTTCTACCTGCGACTGCAGATCCTCAAAACTCCTCCATGTGTTCCCAATGTGTGCTCTGTTCCTATCTTTTCTGAACAACCCGTAACACCATTTTTCTTTTTCCTTTTTTTTTGGATTCTTCTTTGCTCCTTGGCAAAGTTTTAAATTTCTTGGAAATAAAAGCCTGGCCATTAGTTTTCGTCCTTCCCTTTTCTATCGCTCTACGCTTGGCTGCCCCTTTTTTATTATTTCTGTCTTTTTCGGGTTTTTTTTTTTGGGACAGGCAAAATTTTGCAGCTACCTAAGGATCGAGCGAAGATATTGAGTGGGAGTGAGAGGGATTTGAGAAACAGAGAGATAGAGAGGGAGAGCAAGTGATGCTGAAGAAAATCTAAGGCGCGTTTGGGTAGCCTAGTCTTTTAATAATACTCTTTATTTGTCAGCTGATCACTACGAATTTGTGGATCAGTTTGTTGTGGAAATAATTCCTCAAAAGAGCCTTTATTTATCAATAAATATATAATTATTTATATTAATAGAAAAGATTTTAAAAAAGGTAAAAAAAAATATTTTTAAAGGAAAATTTATTAATAAAAACTAAACAATTATTTATATTATTAAGAGATATATATCTTCCTAAAGAAGAGTATCATTTATAATACTCTTTTGTCAATTTTTAATTAAAAGAAATTGTTTAAGAAAAACTTTGCTTCTAAAAGATACTCAGAAACATATTGAGATACTTTTGTATTTAAAAGATAATAAAGATTTTCAAGAGAACATTAAGATACTTTAGCATAGAATAGGTACTAAAAAAAATAATAAAGATTTTCATGTCTAAATTGCATGGAAAATAAAATAAAATAAACATAGAACTTAATTTAAAAAATATTTAAATTTGTTTTCTTTATTTTCTACTTCATTACTTTTCTAGCAACACTTTTAACAATCTTAAAAATACCATCTTCCCAGAATCTCACTGTATCTAAGCCGAGTATCTCACGCTTGTTAGAGTATCTTCTATTCTACTTGACTTTCCGTACTCTCTGTCCCTTCTTCCAAGTGTTATCTGCCTCTCGGCCTCTCTGTCCGTGCGTTTATTTAATTTTTTTATTCGGGCTTCACTTGTCCCTCTCCTCTTGCGCCGCTGCTCAGGCGATACGAAAACCGTGTGCAGGTGTCCAATATTTTCTTTTTTATACCGCGTCATCGGGGCTACGAAAAGAGGGGGAGGAGGAGAATAAAAAAAAAATCCAAAACTAGTTCTAGATTTACAGCCCGCCGCTTACCGCTTGCCGCCTTATTTCGCCCATATTTTCGATTCGATTGCGTATAACAAGTTTAGCTGTCTCGTCCGTCGTCCGTCGGTTTTCGAACCGTTCTTTCGACTCGACATAAAGTGCTTTGCATCCATGCAACGTAGCGTCGTCGCCAGGCCCCCTCTTATAATACCTTTTTTTTTTTTGTATTTTTGTTTTTCGATTTTTGTTTTGGTTCTTCCAAGCGGCTGTTCTTATTTTCTAAGTTTGTATGCAGGGAAAGAAATTTGAATTAGATTTTTAAAATACAAAATAAATGAGTTTACTAGAGGACGTTTAAATATTTTGTTGATTTTGAGGTTTATGGAAATTTTAAAAATATTTTTATTTAAAGGAAAAGATCTTCCTAATGTATAAAAGATTTACTAAAGGAGGTTCTTTTTCTGGGAAAGGTATTGATGTGACTCTTTATGGAAAAAATATTATTATTTTAATATTATAAAATTAAATTGTCTCCCTAAAATTTTTTAATTTATTTACTTATAATATATATTATTAATTAATAATAATGATAATTTATTTATATTTTATATTTGTTTATTTTGTTTCTTTTCTAGCAGTGTAATTTTGATTAATATTATACACATGTTAGATTCGAGGTTTCTTAGGCCCCATGTGGAGTGCCCCCCTCTTCTTAATAATCTCCCCATGCCTGGTAATTACCCAAATTTGGCGTCACTATCCGTTAAAGGGTTTAGTTTTTTTTTATGGAGAGAGGATTAAGGAGGGGGCATAACCTAGGTATAGTCAAAAAACGGTAAAGTGGAATTAAAGTTTATTTATGGAGTTGCCTTTTAACGATTATGAATATAAAAGAGGAAGTGATTTAATACAATATTTATAAATAAAAACAACAATATTTATGGTTAAATTGCAATTTAATATTAATAAAAATATTCAAAATTAAAGACACGTGATCCTTATGCACAATTTCCACATTTTTCCAGTAAACATAATCCCCCAAAACCTTATTATCTAGTTCAGTCTCCTCCTCCAGGAATTGTTTGAAAGGATAACCCAAGGGCAGCTCATCCCAAGGACTGATACCCTTGCTAAACTCACACTTGAGTTCGTTTCAAGAATCAAAAGATCCATCTTTACATGCTTTCCAGTATTAAAAACACTTTTAATACAATTTTTTATTGAAAACGGCTTGCCTTTCTTTTGTCTACAATTGCCTTAAGTATTTGTTTACTTTGTTTCAACTAAGTGGCTATTGTTGGTTTAATATATATATATATATATATTTCAATGAAAATTACCCTAAAAGCTATACCCAGAAGCGAGTCTCATTTGCCTGTTAGTCACCAGGAACGACCACCGGCGATCACCTCCTCCTCCTCCGCCTCCTCCTCTGTTCCTGTTGCGCAAATGTGCGGACATTAAATTGCCAACAACTCGGTCTTGGTGCCTCTGATGTCTGCTGATGATGACTGGATGTGCGGAAAAAAGGGCAAATTATAATGCGAGAAATGTTAATTACAGTCGTCGACGGCTCAGCTTGGATGTCTCGGTATATATACTATATATCTGGCCCATTGTTCGCTCCAGAAATTGGCGCATTAATGTAAATCGGCAGCCAGGCATGACGGATTATAGGAACTCGAGAGACCTAGTCCAGATGCAGTAAATAAACGTCCAGTTATGGCACAAAGCTCCTTTGTTTCCGTTGACAAAACGCTGCGCTCGAAGAACTTAATGAGTTGGAACCGACACGTAACGTAAGAGATATTATATCCCCGATCCAGATCCAACTACTGTCTCGTTGCTGATTGATTCTTATTGATGGTGGCCAGAAATAAGCCTGTTAGGACCGTTACGGATCGAAGCAATTGCTGCCTCATGAAAACTGATCATCGGGGGACAAAAAAAAAAAAAAGAACTTTAGGGCCAACAAAACGTGACAAAATGGTGCTGGTGGATATTGTCTAATCATTGTCTTTGTTGAATATCAAGTAGATGCACTGAGAGAAAGGCGAAAAGCAACTTGTGGGGATAAAAATAGATAAATTTATTTGAGTTGCTTGAAATGTTTGGTCTTTAATTAATTTATTTTTTTATTTTCTTGGATTGTTACTATCTTAAATTTAGCTATACAAATATTTAATGTTTTTAATTTAATTTAAAATTTCTTAAATTTTTTTTTCAGTGCTCGATTTAATACCGAAAGTGACTGCAAATCCCTTTGCACGTGCATGGGCACCACGGGGTTGCGTTTGCCTTCATCTGGATTCTGGTTTCCCGTCTTCGATCCTGAGTGCTTTGCATAATATTAGCACATGATCTGGGATCTGGGATCTGGAAACTGGCAACGGGGATCGCATTGCATCTGCATCTTTCCGTGGGCTTGCCATCATCATCATCAGCATCATCAAATTGCCATAAATCGTTGCCCCTCCTCGTCGCTCCTTTCAAATGTCATCACAGTCTAGTTTTTTTTTTACGCCGCTGCTGGCGTTTCCGTGATCCTTGGCCCCCGGGAGGGAGGCTTATGAAATGCAAATTACATTTCAATAGTAGGTCCCCGTAACCCCTTTCCGCGCACTTTGTTCTTTGTCATTGGGCCTGATGATTGCCCCCTTTTAGCGCATTGAAATCGTATTTAAAAAGTCATTATCAGGCGGATCCCTGAGCATCAATCACTGGGCCT